GGTAGGTAGGTAGGTAGGTAGGTATGTAAGTATGTATTCATGCATGTATGTGTGTGTATGTATGTATGTATGTATGTATGTATGCATGTACCTACGTATGAATGCCTGTAAGCATGGATTTAACTATGCATGTCTGCATGCATCCATGCATGCGAGCATGTATGCAGGAATGCATGCATACATGTATCTACTCATTTGTATATGTTCGCATATATATATATACATACATACATATCTACATATGTGTAGATGTCTGTACATGCAGATGTATACATATGCATGTATGCATGCACGCACGCATCTATCGACATCTGTGCTTTTCTGTCTATAATCTATAAATCCTAAAACCCTAACCCCTAAACCCAAAACCCTTAAACCCTAGACCCTAAAGCCTAAACCCTAAACCCCTAAATCCCAGACCCTAAATCCTAAATCCAAAACCCTCAATCTCTCCCGTGCTTTCTCGGTGCTTGGTCTGCCGGAGGGAGCCTCGCAGGCTGATGCCCTGGATGCACCAGAGCTGCTTCTCAGGCACGGGTCTTTCTGGGTGTAGGGTTTTTGGGGGTTTAGGGGTTTAGGGGTTTAGGGGTTAGGTTTTTAGGGTTTTCCTTAAACCTTGCACCCTAAATCCCTAAACCCTAAACCCCTCAACCCTAAATCCTTAACCCTAGCATTTGTGGACATGAGGCCGGATGCAGAGATCGACACGCAGGGAATTGAGTGTGAGGTTTGTGGAAGGCCGATGGGCAGACGTTTGACAGCGCAGATGTTGTGTGAGCTGTGGCACAGGCTAGTGGACTTTGATGATTTCGCAGAGCACATGGAAGGGCACAGCAGCCTGGCATGGATAAGTGTGATCCTTAAACCCTAAACCCCTAAAGCCCTAAACCCCTAAACCCTACCCTAAAAAGTAGGATAGTCACTCGAAGGACCCCGAAGCTTCCTAACCAAGTGTCCAGCTCTGAATCTTAGGAGAAGCCGTCAGTTCTTCCTCGCGGAGGAGCGGAGACATGAAATCCTGCGAGGCCAGCTGCAGTTGATGGTCGTCATCACCGTCATAATAGCGTTAGAGGCGAGAATAACAATAGTCGTAACAACTTAGTATGTAGTAACTAGTAAGAAAGTAATAATCATAGTAGTTTTCATAGTAGTAGTCAGAGTAACAAAGGGAAGAACAGAGCCACCAGTAATAAAGGTCGTTTTCGCAATAGTCGTAATCAAGAACAGCAATATTGCTAGTTATAGGCATAAAAGTAATACTTGTAACAATAGCAATAGTAGTAAGCCATCTCTGCAACGGCCTGTGGTTTACTACGGCGTAGGGTACCTAAATGCTAGACCCTAAACCCCTCCCGTTGCCAATCTTGGCAGTTGCAATGATTGCAGGTCTGTGGGGCGTTGCTTCCTGACAGCAAGAAGTGGGAGTTTCCCTGTAAATAAGGAGACCTTCGACTCCTCAGCCCCAAGTCAAAAGGATCCTTAATCGTGAAGACCCCCCCCCCCTATAAACCGTGAGCCGAGTTTTCGGGGAAACTCCCGAGTGCGTTTGCACCGTGCATCCCCGGTTTTGCCTTGCTCTGTGCAGCCTAAACCCTAAACCCTAAACCCTAAACCCTAAACCCTAAACAACAACAACAACAAGAAGAGTTGCCAGGATCGCAGCTGAGGCCCTTGAGCTGCATTTGATTCGCTGTTTCGTCTCGCATCCCGTTCCCAACTTCAAAGCCTTGAAACGCGGCAGTGAGGACTTGGAGGATCACCTTGCCGCTCACCGAGTTCACCAGGAGTTGCTCGATTCCGAGATGAAGAGCTCGACCTCGGAAGTCGACATCGCCGCACCTTTTCTTCAAGATCTAAACCCTAAACCCTAAACCCCTAAACCCTAAATCCCTAAACCCCTAGACCCCTAAACCGGCTCAGGCTCAGATCGTGGAGATGGCTCGGTCTGGTGGCTCCGGCTTGCCGGGCAACCGCAGCGCGGCAGGTGCAGGTACCTCCTTTTGGAGTTGGGGTTTGGGGTTTTAGGGTTTAGGGTTTGAGGGTTTGGGGGTTTAGGGTTTCGGGTTTTGGGGTTTAGGGTTGAGGGTTTGGGGTGGAGGTTTTGGGGTTTATGTCGGTTTAGGGTTTAGGGTTTAGGATTTGGGGTTTGGGTACTTTCTCTTGCAGCCATCGGCGTGCATACCTTATTATAATTATAACCTTTGATGCTTGTTAGATAAAACAGAAAGCCCTCCATGTTATAGTAACCTTATAGAGACAAAAAGCATCATAGCAACCTTGTAGAGACCTTTTCGTTTGCAAAAAGCATCGCAGTAACCTTATAATGACCTTACAACACAAATACTGAGTACCCTTCGAAAAGTTGCAGGAGATGCGGTTCTGGTTCGCTGGAGCGACGGGCACTGGTATGCTGCACGCATCAGTCAGACTTTCGAGGATGGCCGTCACCAAGTCACCAGACGGCCTTCGGGACATTTTATCTTTGCCTTTTTCGGTTCTAAGAGGGATCTCTTTTAGGAAGAGTCTTCCTTCCTTTAAAAAGGGCCCACCTAGGTCAGTTGGGCTCCTCCCTATACGACCTGGCAGCCTGAAAGTGTGGCAGCAGACAGCATCATTCCTCGCATGAATCAGCCGCGAGAGATCTGCAACTTCGACGTGGCCGTGGCCTTCGTGAAGAGACTCCTAGAGCTGAAAGCCGAGCAAGATGCCGAGATGCAACTGGAGGTGGTGTACCACTGGACTCGAGACCGGGTTCTTGTTAAGGACTTTAAGTTTAAGTTACCATACTAGGGATCTCTAGTGCATACTATGGTTTCCTTGTTGTGGTAACTTAAACTAAATCCCTTCACAAGAACCCAGGAGAAGAGAATGTCGCCACAATTGTTGAGAACAACCTGCGGCCACCTGGCTCCGCAAATGCCGATGGAACCGCAGTGAAAGTTCTGAATGGAGAAGCACCTGGGTTCGTGTTTTCAGGTTTAGGGTTTAGGGTTTAGGTTTAAGTTACCATAAATTCAGGAAGTCCTACTATTTATTATAGATCCCCTATGCTGGTATCTGAAAAAAACCGCAGGCATTGGGACGAGGCATCTATGCTGCAACCAACATCGAGTTCGGGCGCTCCTACGGCTTCGGCCTTTCCTGTGCCTTTCTGTGCTTGGCAGTTCCAGGGATAGCTCCTAGGCTCCCCAATATTACCCTTTGGCCCCTTTTTCCTTTTCGGGCTCCCTCCCTAAATCCAAAACGAACCGCCTAGTTCATGAGCTAGTGGGAACGTAGGTTCGTGCTGAGAAGAGAAGCGGCCATCGCCATCGCCATGGCCATCCACAGGGCCTCTGCGAAGGTAGCGACTGCTACCGCCATGGAGAAGTGCGTGTCTACCGGAGATCCGAACACGTCCTCCCCCTTTTCTTTACCGACGCTGCGCAGGCAGCCAGGCTCAAAGCCTGCGCAGGGGAGATCGCAGAGTTTCTCATTTCCAAGGGCCTTGGAACCAAGGAAAAGGAGGCAAAAAAGGCTTTCAAGGTGGGGCAGGCCGTGGAAGTGCTTTGGAGCGGTGTTTACTACAAGGCCCGGATTGCCAAAGTGCATCCTGGTGCCTATGACGTCCACTGGCTGCCTCCTTACGGTGGATGGCCACCCTCTCGAGCTGTTGAAGATGCTGTGCGCAGATACGGGTAGAAAGACGCAGCCAGTTGTCCCTTCGCTTGCGACAGTTGCTTTCAAAGACCACCGAACTCAGAGAGTCACTACGCTCAGCCGCAAGCCAGAGAGATCAGTCGCTTCATCTCAGTCTCCGTTTGCTTAGTCATCCTGCTCGCGCCACTAGTCCATGCCTCGTCGTGCTAGCCCTCAAGCTTCATCTACCTTCTTGAGGTTCCTGTCGAGTCTGCCGAAGCTAGCTCGGTCCTAAACCCTAAACCCTCAACCCTCTATCCTAAACCCCCTAAACCCTCAACTCTCTATCCTAAACCCTAAACCCTAAACCCTCTATCCTAAACCCTAAACCCTCTATCCTAAACCCTAAACCCTAAACCCCCTATCCTAAACCCTAAACCCGAAAACCCTACACTCCGAATGCCAGGATCCCTACCTGCAAGATGCAAGGGCCAAGCTGCTATGGCAGCCAGATGCTTTGCAAGTGAGCGAGGTGGGGACTCTAAGATCTGCGGGGTTTTCGCGACCCAAAAAATTCCCTAAAAAAAGGGGCCTAAATAGTTACCAATACTATTTTGGGGTAGTTATAGGTATAAAGGAGCCCAAAACCATATTCTTAAGTATGAAGGCCCCTGGATTAAACCCCAAAAAACCCTTCCATCGCACAGCCTCGCAGACCCCTCCCTGGTTCTTAGTAGGGAATGCGGGGGAATGGATCCCTATGATAGTCCCCCAAGGTCCCCAAAAGCCCATTCCCCCACCCTAAATTCCCACCCGGCCTGCT